CGCTTTTAAATTTGAACTTGTCCGCACCCGTTCTCCAAAACCGCTTGTCAGATTAACGTAGGGTTTCACAATATGTTAGACTAACATGTCTAGTGGTGCAATCAGGGTTTTGTTTGTGCAATGGGGTTTATAAAGGGGTACTTTGAGGGGCAAAAAGAAAAGAGGGTTTTACTATAGAACCCTATGGGATTTTATTTTTTAAAATTTTCAAATGATTATAAATTGAAAACCGTTTGTGATAGACACAATCTTTTTAATTGAAAATGTTCTAAATGATAAAGCCCATTAAATGAAATACAGTGTTAGTCCCCAGGGGTCACCCCCACCCCCTGCCATTTAAGAAAGTTCTAATACCTTGCAAGTGGTCAAGATCCCCACCCTAAACCATATATATTTTGGTTTGTTATGCTAAGATGGTTTGAATGATATACAGGATTAGTCCCCAGGGGTCATCCCGACCCCCTGCCATTTGAGAAAGTTCTAATATCTTGTAAATGGTCGAGATCCCCACCCCTAAATCATATATATTCTGGTTTGTCATGATAAAGCATATCAAATGTAATACAGGGTTAGTCCCCAGGGGTCACCCCCACCCCCTGCCATTTAAGAAAGTTCTAATATCTTCTAAGTGGTCAAGATCCCCACCCCTAAACCATATATATTCTGGTTTGTCATGCTAAGATGGTTTGAATGATATACAGGGTTAGTCCCCAGGGGTCATCCCGACCCCCTGCCATTTGAGAAAGTTCTAATATCTTGTAAATGGTCGAGATCCCCACCCCTAAACCATATATATTCTGGTTTGTCATGATAATGCACATCAAATGAAATACAGGGTTAGTCCCCAGGGGTCACCCCCATCCCCTGCCATTTAAGAAAGTTCTAATATCTTGTAAGTGGTCAAGATCCCCACCCCTAAACCATATTTATTCTGGTTTGTCATGCTAAGATGGTTTGAATGATATACAGGGTTAGTCCCCAGGCGTCATCCCTACCCCCTGCCATTTGAGAAGGTTCTAATATCTGTAAATGGTCGAGATCCCCACCCTAAACCATATATATTCTGGTTTGTCATGATAAAGCACATCAAATGAAATACAGGGTTAGTCCCCAGGGGTCACCCCCACCCCCTGCCATTTAAGAAAGTTCTAATATCTTGTAAATGGTCAAGATCCCCACCCCTAAACCATATATATTCTGGTTTGTCATGCTAAGATGGTTTGAATGATATACAGGGTTAGTCTTCAGGGGTCATCCCGACCACCTGCCATTTGAGAAAGTTCTAATATCTTGTAAATGGTCGAATTCCCCACCCCTAAACCATATATATTCTGGTTTGCCATGATAAAGCACATCAAATGAAATACAGGGTTAGTCCCCAGGGGTCACCCCCACCCCCTGCCATTTAAGAAAGTTCTAATATCTTGTAAATGGTTGAGATCCCCACCCCTAAACCATATTTATTCCTGTTTGTCATGTAATGAACATTTGAATGACGTATAGGGCCAGTCCCTAGGGGTTCCTCCCCACCCCCAATGTTCTAGTATCTTGTAAATGGTCGAGATCCCCACCCCTAAACCATATATATTCTGGTTTGTCATGCCAAGATGATTTGAATGATATACAAGGTTAGTCCCCAGGCATCACTAATGCATATAACTTTACTGGACCAAACCAATTTTCACTGGACGTTGCCCAATGTCAGGCGACCCTGGGAATTACGAATTATGGGAGCTTCGTTTGGGAGACTTCGTAACAGCATCCTGTTGCAATCATTTCTTGTTATGTTTATGATCATACTTTTCTCAGACTATTGATGACATCCTTTCATAAGTATTCAGTAGGTGGACGACCATTTGATTTTGAAAAGCGGGTAGAAATGGTGAGGAGGATTTTGAAAATGAATAACTTGGCCTAGTATGAACTGAAAATAAACGACTTTGCATAAGACAGGATGAAAATGAATACTCTGCAACATGAAATGCAGGAAAGTTGAGAATACGAATGTGTAAAAAAGTGAAAATAAATTTTCGCACAGCAAAGACGTGGAAAAAAATAAGCATGCATAGCAACAAATGAAAAAAAAATGGTCAGTCTGAAAAAGATTCTTCTGCCGCCAGGCCCTACCCCCGCCCTCTTTTTCCCGAATAGGAAATGGTCGTACTATAACGATGAGTACTTTGAGATCGGTACTTTGTGTCTTTTGTCTTCATGTTAGTTGTTTTTGTGCTTCATGCTGATTTGATGAGTCAAGCCATTTCCAGCTGTTTTTAGCTCACCGTTCCGAAAGAACTGTGAGCTTTTGCCATCACTTGACGTCCTCTGTTGTCGTCCGTCATCGTCCGTCTGGTGTAAACTATTTCAAACATCTTCTCCTCTGAAACTACTGAACCAATTCCAACCAAACTTAAGATGAATGATCCTTAGGGTATCTAGAATAAAGTTTGTGTTTGATTTACTGTTTCGTCTAATAACATGGCCGCCATGGCTAAAAATAGAACATAGGGGTAAAATGCAGTTTTTGGCTTATATCTCAAAAACCAAAGCATTTAGAGCAAATCTGACATGGGTAAATGTGTTCATTAGGTGAAGTTCTATCAGCCCTGAAATTTTCAGTTGAATCTAATAACACATTGTTGGCATTGTTGCTGCCTCTAAATTGGTAATTTTAAGGAAATTTTGCAGTTTTTGGTTATTATCTTGAATATTATTAATGATAAAGATAAACTCAGAACAGGAAAAATGTTCAGCAAGGTAAGATCTACAAATAAGTTCAATGAACAAAATTGTCAGTTGACCCCTTAAGGAGTTATTGCCCTTTAAGGACAATTTTACACAATTTGTTTATCATGTTTTCTTACTTTAAAAAATCTTTTTTCTCTGAAACAACTGAACCAATTCCAACCAAACTTAAGCTGAATAATCCTTAGGGTATCTAGAATAAAGTTTGTGTTTTATTTACTGTTTCTTCAAAAAACATGGCCACCATGGCTAAAAATAGAACATAGGGGTAAAATGCAGTTTTTGGCTTATATCTCAAAAACCAAAGCATTTAGAGCAAATCTGACATGGGGGTAAAAATGTTCAAAAGGTCAAGATCTATCAGCCCTGAAATTTTCAGACAAACCGAACAACCCAATGTTGGGTTGCTGCCACTAAATTGGTAATTTTAAGGAAATTTTGCAGTTTTTGGTTATTATCTTGAATATTATTAATGATAAAGATAAACTGTGAACAGGAAAAATGTTCAGCAAGGTAAGATCTACAAATAAGTTCAATGATCAAAACTGTCAATTGACCCCTTAAGGAGTTATTGCCCTTTAAGGACAATTTTACACAATTTGTTTATCATGTTTTCTAACTTTAAAAAATCTTTTTCTCTGAAACTATTGAACCAATTCCAACCAAACTTAAGCTGAATAATCCTTAGGGTATCTAGAATAAAGTTTGTGGTTTTTTTTACTGTTTCTTCAAAAAACATGGCCACCATGGCTAAAAATAGAACATAGGGGTAAAATGCAGTTTTTGGCTTATATCTCGAAAACCAAAGCATTTAGAGCAAATCTGACATGGGTTGAAAATGTTCAAAAGGTCAAGATCTATCAGCCCTGAATTTTCAGACAAACGGAACAACCCAATGTTGGGTTGCTGCCACTAAATTGGTAATTTTAAGGAAATTTTGCAGTTTTTGGTTATTATCTTGAATATTATTAATGATAAAGATAAACTGTTAACAGGAAAAATGTTCAGCAAGGTAAGATCTACAAATAAGTTCAATGATCAAAATTGTCAATTGACCCCTTAAGGAGTTATTGCCCTTTAAGGACAATTTTACACAATTTGTTTATCATGTTTTCTAACTTTAAAAAATCTTTTTCTCTGAAACTACTGAACCAATTCCAACCAAACTTAAGCTGAATGATCCTTAGGGTATCTAGAATAAAGTTTGTGTTTAATTAACTGTTTCTTCAAAAAACATGGCCACCATAGCTAAAAATAGAACATAGGGGTAAATGCAGTTTTTGGCTTATATCTCAAAAACCAAAGCATTAAGAGCAAGTCCTTGTTTATGACCTAATAGTGTAAGCAACAAAATGATTAATAGCATGAGATAATCTGTGTTTAATTATGATCAATGCCAAAATGTTGACTTAATTTGTTTTTAATTGCTAATTTCTTCAAAACGACTTTTATTTCTCACATGAAATTTGGCACACACAAGCACTCACAGTGTCTTATTGCTTTAATCAAAGTAAAAAATATCAGAATGATACACGAAATAATTTTGCTTTCAATGAAAATGTGGTAAATTTCGGGTAAAATTTTAGTCTTAATAAATTGCTGAATTACTTATAAATACTGCAATCGCTTAAATACTTTCTGCTTTCGTTATATGTTATATTTAATATATAAACTATATTATAAATACTATTTTAACTACCAACAAAAAGCGCAATAATTTTATTTTTCATGTTAAAGATTCCCCGTACAATATGGTATCTGGGGGTACCGTGTAAAAACATGAAATCTAGAAATTTGTGACCACATGAACTTACGACGACATTCATGATTGTAAAATACAATGATTTTCCTATAATTTTCCAAAAAAAATAGCCGTGTGTTATTCCGTTAACTTTAATTCGTTAACTCGAGGACTTTTTGGACACTGGGCACCCTACTAGAAAGTCAATTTTATGTGCTAGGTTTGACATTTCTTTTAACCTTGTACTGGTACATGGTAAAGCCATACAGTGTTTTGTATTCGGTTGGACGATATATGACCTTGAAAAGTCAACAGGAAATGACATCATGTAAACCGGAAGTAGCCATTTTTGCAATAGTTTCATGTAAAAGTATATAGAAACCTATATTTTTTTATTCAGCATGAAGTAACCTTTCATTTGAAACGGAAGTGACAATTTGTGTACAGGAAATAGCAAAATTATATATATTATCTACTTTATTAAAGTTATGACACTGATCTAATTTACTTTTTACAGGAGTTATTGATAAAATATTAAATGGGACACTGATTAATGATGTCACAGAAAATTACCTTGATGTAAGTAGAAGAAGTAATTGTTTTTTTTTTCATTTATATATCACTATTTTTATGCTACCCAATAAAATGTCAGGAGCATATATATTAATCACTTTTTCCGTCAGGTCAGTCTATGTGTCTGAAACAAATGATTTCTGGATCATAACTTGAATATCCCTTGCTTGATTGGAATGAAACTTATACAGATGGAAGATATACATGTAGGGAAGGGGAAGAAGCTTATTGATTATGTGGTCAATAGGTCAAATACCAGGTCACTGTTTTTAAAGATAAAAAAATTGTTTCTTCATGGTAACTTGAGTCTCCAATGCTTGATTGGAATGAAACTATACAGATGAAGGATATAGGAAAGGAACAGAAGCCTATCAATTTGGGGGTCAAAATGTCATAGGTCAAAGTCACTTCCTAACAAAGAAAAAAAATTGAAAAATGGTTTCCAGATGGTAGTTAAGTTTAAACATATTTTATTGTTCAAAAAGACAAATGGACCAGATACAAGTTGATCCATTTGTCCTCTTGAACAATAAAATGGATGGTAACTTGTGTATCCCTTGCTTAATTGGAATAAAACATGTACAGACGAAAGATAAAGAGGGAAGGGAAAGAAGCCTATTTATTTTTCAACAATATGTGAAAAGAAACTGTTACAAAAACAGAAACTTTTTGAAGCAATGGTTTTGGGATTGTATCCCACTATGAATTATAACACATTTATACATGTGGGTGGTGTCAATAAAAATTAAGCAAAAGTGTGATGAAGAGGGCAAAATTTCAACATTGTTTAATTCAAATAAGTTATATTTGAACAAATTACAGATACCCATTAGTTTATATTTATGAAACTGATGGCATAGATATGTGTTTATTGTTTTTAACAAAATTTCAATTACTAGATGTAAAAAAAACTTTGAAAATACTGTAAATTTGTTGGTTTTTTTTCAAATATTTTGATAAAAAATAAAGTAAGTTTGGTACCAAAATGTTTTTCTCCGCCTTCTTGTTCATTTAGAATTATTGGTTATATCCAACAAAAGGTACACAAAGTTCTGTTTAGCTTACAGGAGTTTTACATTTTTACCTAAAGTTTTTAGTTTCTTAAATAATTTTCTGATACTGTTGATATTACTTTCTATGCCATCAGTTTCATAAACTAATGGGTATCTGTAATTTGTTCAAATATAACTTATTTGAATTAAACAATGTTGAAATTTTACCCTCTTCATCACACTTTTGCTTAATTTTTATTTGACTATTTTACTTCATGTAATTAAAAGTATTCATGTCACCATATAATTTTTTACATAGATTTATGCATACAAAATGATATTCGAAAACAATTGTAGAAGTGGATGGACAAATAGGAAAGAAATTTCTTGCTATTATAACCTGCCAAATTTCAGTGAAATGTCACACTCCTGACATGAATACTTTTAATTACCGTTCCTACTCGCTTATTAGTCGGAAAATTGGGAGTAAAATTCATAATCCAGAGAGGGGGGCCGACTAATAGACGAGATCTAGCGACCAGAGGAAAAATCCAAGCTTGAGAAAAGTGGTCAGGAGTGAATTTCCTGGTCAAAACTACGTTTTTGATTGCCAAACCTACATAAATCAATAAATAAAAAGTTTTTGTTGAAAATAAATGACTTCAATACTGTCTTTGTGTTTTATTTGTTCTTTGGTAAACATTTTCTGCAAATTCGTGTTGAAATTCTACTGTTTCCGGTTTGTGTATTGATTTTCATGGTCACATGGTTTTCCTATAAACCCAAAAGAAGAGCCAAGAACCAAAAATGAAAAGGAGATAACAATGTACCAAATATGTGAAAGGATGTTTTCAGCGGAGTTATTGTGTCATTATTGTGATATCATGATATCAATTCAATGCTTATAGTAGGATCGACTATTAGGCGAGTATCTACGGTACAAGAAGTAAAGAGTAACAGGCTTTTTTCTTTAATTTCATGTTTGGTTGGATGAAATACTGGTATTTTTAGTAAAAAAATATGTTTCCTTTTTCTGTCTACCAGAATGACCAAAGTGAGTGTGGCATAAATACTTTTAATAAAACTCTTTTAATAAAAAATCAGAAAATATCTTGTAGACTGTATGCTATTAAATTTGAATTTTTCTTATAAATTTTTGTTGTATCAGTATCAAAGTAAAGGAAAATATTATGGTAGACTGCAATGTTGAACACAAAATAGCTGCACAGATTAATTTTTCATGTCAGGAGTGTGACACTTTTTAGGTACTTTTTTGTATACATGTATATTATTCCGTCATTATGCAACGAACAGTTATACAGACTTTTTCTAAATGCCTTCACATATTGATCTGATTTTTAGAATGTGAGTGTACTATGATGAGTAACAGATCGAGTTTACATTTGGTTCTACTTAACTGATTTTTGCCCAAATTAAGGGCTTTGGACTTTGAAAATTTTGTGAAAATAACAGTTATACAGACTTTTTTTCTGAACACCTTCACATATTGAGCTGATGTTTAGTATGCAAGTCGACTGTGATGAGTTGCAGATCGAGTTTACGTTTGAAAATTTTGTGAAAATAACAGTTATATGGACTTTCATTCTCAAATTTCCACTCCTTAAAATGGCTTCAAGCTTTTTTTTGCAAGCGGGGCCATTCGTGTCGTTCTGACACATCTAGTGATGAAATATGTTTTAGACGGATATGTTAACAAGGATATATAACTGCTACTGTGGTGACAATATATGTAAGTTTTCTGGACTTTCAATTCTAGCAAACATTTCCCCTCTTCAGTGGATTGTGTAAATTAGCACAATATATGTATATTATACCTCATCAAGGCGAGGTCAATTCATGGTAATTTAATGATTGAATGTCTGTAAATTTGTTCTTTTGATCTTCACCTGAGTGCATTTTAGCCACTAGCTTTTACCGTCCAAGGTGTGTATAACATATTGGATGGATTTTAAGACAAAAGTGCCAGTTTAATACACAAAGATTACAAAAATATTTTAATATTCTCCTTGTTTTTTAGGGAAAAGGGGGTGGTGGTATAGATCGCCGTGGAATATTTCATCATCTTTTGAGTACACTCCATTGCAAATAAATTATGACATTAAACATGTTTTTTCACATACCTGAACTGTGAATAAAAATGGTATTATCTATACTACTAAAATAACAAGGTCCAATTTGTAAGCCGGCATGACGTAAAAACGATGAATCAAAGAATTCAACTTTATATATAACTAATATAGGACAATGGTGTAGATTAAAAATTACACCATTCCAGGCCCTTTTGTTTCCACATAATTAATATTACCAATAATTAACAAGGTCCGAGTTGAATCTGATACCAATACCAATAGTACCTATTACCTGTTACCTAATCTGTACACTCTGCCTCTGTCAGATGCACCACCAAATGGTGTATTTGGGATTTGCTATATACACAGGTCATAATCACACCTGAACTTGGTCAGATCATTATTCAGGGATTGACACTACTAAATTCGATCATTGACCAAAAAAAAAATATATCTACAAGTAGTTTCTGGCAGTTGTAAGAAAACCAGGGCGGATTCAAACAGAAAGTTTTGAAAGCAAGAGAAAACTGTGCACCTTATAATCAGCATGACTTTATCAAGAGAGGCGAACGATACCAAAGGGACATTCAAACTCATAAGTCGAAAATAAACTGACCACACCATGGCTAAAAAAGAAAAAGACCAACAGACAACAGACAAACAATAGTACACAAAACACAACATAGAAAACTAAAGACTGAGCAATACGAACCCCACCAAAAACTGTGGGTGATCTCAGTTGCTCCACAAGGGTAAGCAGATCCTGCTCCACATGTGGCACCCATTCTGCTGCTCATGTTAGTACAAACCCGGTAATAAGTCTTAATCGGTAGGTCACATTCGGGGAAAAGGGGACAGGATTGTAGTTACGACATTTGGAACATATCCGCTATCATCTGTGAAACGGACAATTATCAAATGACAATAGGAATACTAAAAATCCAGGCTGAAAATAAGGCATAGGTACTTTAATTCAGTCACAGTCGCTGGTGTGTTCTAGTTATAATGATAAGAAATATCTAGATAACATTTGAAGTGTATTATATTTTTATGTGATGATTTATCTGAATAAATGTTGTTTAAACCAAATGATATCATAAGAAAAGGTTGAAACGAAATGATTGATTAATTTAAAAATAAAATGGAATAGTAATGTATACAGACTAAGAAATGAACAATTTATATCAACCTCGAGAACCTAGTATTAAATTAAATGTGTCTAGAAAAGTAAAATAGTAGCATTACAATATTTTGTGCATCTGAAGCGCTTTTCACTTACCTCATGGGGAACGCTCTAATCCAATTATTTGAGACCGCGTCATATATAAATACTTGGTTTATATGACCTAATGACGTTGATTGGAGCATATATTTTATAAGTGAAACCCAAATCTGCTGTGTTTTTTTTATTGAAATGGTGTTGATTTTTGATAGAAAACAGCTGATTGTTAATGTAATTTTCATCCCATGCATCGTAAAATTCTAACTCAAATGATCACCTGGTTCCCATTTAAATTGCCTACATTTTAAATTCTTAAAGGTAGTTGTTCTTATGAGATTCAATCATTTACCCAAAGGCCCAAGTGAACTTTTCTCATCACTCGCCATCTGTCTTCCGTCGTTGTCTGTTGTTAACTTTTACAAATATCTTTTCCTCTGAAACTAATGAGCCAAGTTTAACCAAACTTGGCCACAATCATCATTGTGGTAATGGTATCTAGTTTGAAAAACGTGTTCGATGACCCCACCTGCCAATCAACATGGCCAACATGGCTAAAAATAGAAGATAGGGGTTAAATGCAAGTTTTGCCTATTATTTTGAAAACTGCTATCAATATAAAAAATCTTGGTGTGACAAAAATGTTTAGAATGTTGAGCTCTACCTATTGTCTGTTTATGTCAAAACTGTCAGACAACTTCTTATAGGAGTTATTGCCCTTGAATGACAAATTTAAACCAATTTTTTGCGTCATTGCATAATATATTAAAAACTATATTAGATAGTTAGAATCTTTAGAAAGCAAAAATGATCAGCACAACAGGATCCACAAACAAGTCAACATAGCTGAAATCTTAAGTCGACTCCTCATTAGAGTTATTGCCCTTTAATGACGATTTTTTTTTGTAGTTTTGACTAATATTTTAAAGACTATAATAGATAGATAGAAACTTTAAATGCAAGACAAGATCTACAAATATGTCAACATGACAGAAATTGTTAGTCATCCCCTTATTGAAGTTATTACCCTTTAATGACAATTTTTTTTGCCTATTATCTTGATAACTATGATAGATATATAGAAACTTTAAAAAGAAAAATTATAGCAGGATAAGATCTACAAATATGTCAGCATGACTGAAATTGTCAGTTAACTTTAAATAGAGTTATTCACCTTTAATGATGATTTTAACTAAAAAGTGGCCATTGTTGAAAATTCAGGTGAGCGACACATGCTCTTTAGAGCCTCTAGTTTTCCAAAATTGGACTGGGTGTCAAGAAAAAGCAGCATGGTGCCATAAAACCTCCTGTAGGAAATGCTATTTATTCTTGCAACAATTTCGATATACACAAAAAGGGTGTATCTTGTGTTCTTTGCGCAGCTGTTGATTAGGACTCTTAAGTATGTAAATAAGAGCAGTAGCCCTTTTTTTTATGCCCCACCTACGATAGTAGAGGGGCATTATGTTTTTCAGTCTGTGCGTCTGATTATTTGTCCATCCGTTCATCCATCCTTCTGTCCCGCTTCAGGTTAAAGTTTTTGGTCAAGGTAGTTTTTGATGAAGTTGAAGTCCAATCAACTTGAAACTTAGTACACATGTTCCCTATGATATGATCTTTCTAATTTTAATGCCTAATTAGAGTTTTGACCCCAATTTCACGGTCCACTGAACATAGAAAATGATAGTGTGAGTGGGGCATCTGTGTACTATGGACACATTCTTGTTTGTTATATGTTACCAGAGCTTATTAGTTAGGGAAGAATGTACGCTTCTGTCACAAGCTATGACCTAGACCTTTTCAGACTTGTGTTCACAAATACAATAAATAATAATAACATAAATTTCTTTTCAGTATTCGATTTGAATTTATTTTTATATGCCAGAGAGTGATTCGTTCTCTGCTGTTTCTCTAAAGAGCACTGAACTTGAATTTAGGTGAAAACTATCCTTGATGCATGCATGCTCTTTAAAGGGGCATTAGCTGTCAAATTCATGTTCACCGATTTGACACAAATTCTTATATTCGACTTATAACATACTAAAACGCATATCCAAATTATAAAAAGTCTAAAATACATGAAATAAACAATTAAAGATGCATAGACTCGATTTTATATTTCAGCATTTCGTGTGTATTTTAGTCCAGACGCCATCTTATTAACCATGGAGGTGACCTCTGAAGACTGCCGATGGTCATATAACCCAATATAAACATTAAACATAGAAAAAATAGATTGTGAACTTGTGCAATTGGATTTTTCTAGGTCTGTTTGATTTCATATTATAGGTTAAAAAAATATGTTAATAATCGTTTACCTATATAAGAATGAGTTTTTCTAGATCGAATCAGTCAACCAAATGGTTTACCTTTGTTTCACTTCCAATGTTTACATTCTTTTCCATTTAATAACTGAACACGCTTAGTTCATGCGTAATCCATCTCTAGCTTTAGGGATCAATTAAAGTTCACATGAATACGGATTCAATGCGGTCCAATTATTCACTTGCAAGTGAATAATTCATTAGCGATGTCTCTTTGCTTATTTTGACAAAACTGAACCAAACTGGCTGTTAAAAGCGAATTATTATTTCACTATTTCACTTTCATAAATAATTGAACAAAAAAAAAAATAATATTTTATTTTTTTTATATCTAGTATCTAATGCCCCTTTAAGCATGCAATCTAAGTAGATAGTATATGAAAAAAATAATTGATTGCGAGAAAGGAAAAAATAAATTATGCCAGATTGGCAAATAATTGCCAGGTGAATGATTCAGGCTCTTGTTATAGATAAGATTTAGTTATAGATAAGACTTATTCTTTTTCAGTATGTGAAGGAATTTGCTGGTTATGGTGCCCTAATAGTGATTGGTTTTCTGTTTCTAATTATATTCCCTTTCATTGGAATGTGTTTCTGTTGCTGCCGATGTTGCTGTAATAATTGTGGTGGTGCTATGAAGCAGAACCCTAAAGATGCAAACAACCATTGCAAAAGAAGAACCTTTGCTGTAATTTTGTTTGTCTTAATTGCATTTATAGTGTAAGTTCTACAGTGCCTTTAACATACAAAAAGGAAAAGAAAAAGAAAATTCTCATTTGCGTAAAATGTTTTTTGAATTCATTTGTTAATTATGGATGCCTCTTTAACACTTGTAATGGTGCTCAAAGAAAAGCTATGAAATAGATTTCAGTAAACTGTGTAAGAAAAAAAAAATACGACAAATGCAGTATTTGGTTTGTTGTTGTAATGACAAATATGGAAGAAAAGTACATATGTTGTCAGCACATGCTATTTAGATTTCTGATTTGGTCAATTTTAGAATAAATGATTATAATAATCTATCTTTGAAATTTTAAGTACACTTCGGACAAAAGCACCCACTGGTATATTTCTTTGATGAAAGCTTAACTGAACTAAATTATTCAAACAATAAAAACCTTACCAGATGAACTAGAAATGAGTTTTTTTTGTGAGGTAAGTATACTTTTAATTCAGCCAACATAAGAAAATTCTCAAAAATCTACTAAGATGGACAAGATAACAACTCACAGCTATTAATGATACAGTAAGAAAATACCAAACACGTGTTCAATCGCCTCTATGTTTCCAATCATATATACAAGGAATGTCAAGATCTACTTACTTCCTGTTTTCACCAAAATTATCAGATGACAATTGCCCTAAAATGATGATTTTTGGCTAATTTTCATGTTTTTGTTTCTCAAAAACTGTGAATTAGATTATTTATGTAGAAACTGTTAAAAACCAAAAGTGGTTAGCAATACAAGATCTACAAAAATACCTATATAACTTAAACCATTGGATGACTCCTTAGCATTTGGACGTATCATTTCCATGGAGACCCCAAGGGTTACTGGGGTATAGAATTTGTGTCATCTCTTGGTCTTTTTGCGACCAGCAGAAAAACCCTTGTCAAATTGGAGCTTCAGTTTGACTGTGGAATGTATAAATTCACAGCCACATCTGGTCATAAGGGGACATTAAATCTGATGCCTTGTGTAAAGAGAGTGCCATACTAATAATACTTGCAACAACTCTTTGGGGGTCCTTAAGTGACCTGTTGCAAGGCTAAATTTCTGTCCCTATCCAATATACCATATCATATATCATTTTCCAGTGGCATTCCAAATTTCCAGTCTATTATCAGAATATCATGGTCATGTGGCATGACCTATCTATTGTATTTATTGTTAATCTGTTATCGTCCTGAACAGCAATTAATCACTTCCATGGAGTTTATGTTTTACCACCCCTTTATCATAGTTCATTTATTTTGAAACTTTTGTATAGTATACATGTTAAAGATGGTGTTTAGGTCAGTTAAAAGGGAACCACATATGATAAGTCTGGTATTTGGTATGCAGTTGTATAAGCATTGTCAATTCTCATTACCATGGAGGTTATTTTGCCCTGCACCTTCATGGTTCATTGTCTGAATGTTTTGTATAGCGTTTTGCATAGCTTACATGTTAAAGTATCACCATTTTAATTCCTTTTTTAATCCCAATATAGGCAATATTTTTATTATACTATCAAAATTGCATAAAGGCTACACATATCTCTAAGTCATGTAAGTCAACAGTTTATTGAATATATGTAAATTTGTATAAATATATCTTGCTATTTTCCTGAAATTGAAAAAAATGTTATAATAGGCTTCTGATTTTTTTTTATAATGCTTTATATTTCAGAAGGTAAAAGACTTGGATGCTTCATGACTTGTATATAAATGCTTTAATATGTTACGAAGTTTTCGTCTATTATATGACCATTGTCCTTGACCTCATTTTCATGGTTCAGTGACTGCTTAAAAAAATTGTTAAGTTTTTTTTCATGTGAAATTCTCACTTATTTTGTTTAATACTTATTGGATAATAATATTTGGTCTATGGAATCCTTACAAGGTGTACACCTGACCTCACCCTCATTTCATGGATCAGTGATCAAGGTTAGGTTCATTTCTCAGATAAGATAAGCAGTAGGTCAAGTATATTTGGTGTATGGAATGATTGTTAGATGTACATGTCAAACTGGCAGGTTTCATAAGACCTTAACCTCATTTGTATGGTTCAGTGGTTAATTTTAAGTTTTTGTGTTTCGGTCTGTTTCTTAGATTCTATTATCAATAGGTCAATTATATTTGGAGTATAGAATGATTGTAAGTTATACATGTGGGTCTGGCAGCTAACATATGACCTTGACCTCATTTTTATGATTCATTGGTCAATGTCAAGTTTTCGTGGTTAGGTCTATTTCTATAAGCAATGAGTTAACTATTTTTGGTGAATGGAATTATTGCAAGGTGTTTATGTTGGTCTGATAGCGTACCTGTCAACCTATAAAAATGAAAATATATTAGGATATATAATTTAAGCATTTAAAGGAAGTAGAGTTGAATAAAGTAATTTTTAAAATATTAATTTTTTAATTGTTCTCAGGTAGAAAAATAATAGAAAGTAATATTCTGATATGTATTTGCATTCAATTTGCCTTAGATTTAATCTTTTTACAAAAAAAAACCCAACATAATTTAAGGAGTACAGTATATCAGTATATTGTGAAAGGTGGCAAAAAAGGGGGAGTAACTCAAATATTTTGGCGAACAAATTCGAAATACACAAGATTTATGACTTTAAGCTTAGGTAATTGGCGTTAATAAACAGTGTGTTTGACACCAAAGCTGTCAAGTGAAGCCATGCACTTAATGGGTCACTTAATTTGACAGTTAACACAGCTAGTTGAATTTCCTGTCCAGGAAGAATTACGAATTTGCCAGTGTTTAAAAGGAAAATCATTTATGAAATCAGTCTAAAGGCTCAAGAATCTGGGTGAAAACGGGTCAATTATTGAATTCCCAGGTTATTTAACGACCCGGCGGGTATTTAAAAAATCATGGGTGAGAGGTGAAATTTACGAGTATCACCTATAGGATACGGGTCAGTTGACGGTATGTGAAAGGGTTCATCTGACCTTGACCAGGTTTTACATCGATCATTTATGTGTTAATTGTTTGTTATAAAAATATTTCATGGTTCATTGGTCAATGATAAGACATTGTGGTTTGAAAGGTTGTCAGGTTCTATTAGCGAAAGGACCATTATAGGATTGTAAGGTGTACATGTCTGTCTGGCATGGTTCATCATATAACAGACTTTCAACATGAACTCAATGTAAAACAAGCGAAACATTTCATCTTGTGCACTCTTTGTCAATTTTACATTAAATACAGGAAGTTTGAAGGCTTAAAGGCACAATTAGAAAATATAATTTTCTATACAGATATCATTTCATATTTATGTCATGTGAACATCTTAAGAATGTTATTTAATATATTAGTTATACATTTTTTGATATTCGAATTAGAGGCCTTAAATCATACCTTCTTTGTTTTGATTGGAGGAATTAGATATATTGACCAATCAGAAAGTAGCTAACTGAACCCAGAGCGGCATTTACGTTTTTTAAGTAACACATGGCTTTTCGATGATTTTAAAACTAAAATGATTTAGCTACTAAACATACAAAGAGGCACAGATTTTTCAGCTTGTTGACAGAATCCCATTTTTGATTGACCGGAATTCATTGATCTCATAGCCCAGTATTAGCTGTTGTTTCATGTATTTTTACGATTTGATCAGTTCCTCAACTATTTTAAGTAAAAGGTGAAATATATTTGGTTTATAGACTGATTGCAAGGAGTAAAAGTCACTCTGTAAAGTTAAAAAAATAACCTTCTTATTTTTATATTGACCTCATTTTTGAGAGGAAATACCTGTCAGTGTGTTATTTTGTGACAAGAAAGTTATTCTCAGCATTTAGTGTTTAAGGGAATATGATACAGTTACAGGGGAGGTAATGACGTCAGACTGTGAAATATTGAGAAAAGATGCATTTTTCAACTGATTTTAATCATTAGCTTGAAAACGAGTACATTGACTCCTCTTTTTAGCTCACCTGGGCCAAGTGAGCTTTTCTCATCACTTGGCGTCCCTCGTCTGTCGTCCGTCATCATTAACTTTTACAAAAATCTTCTCTGAAACTACTGGACCAAATATAACCAAACTTGGCCACAATCATTATTGGGGTATCAAGTTTAAAAAATGTGTCCGTTGACCCCGCTTGCCAACAACGTTGGCCGACATGGCTAAAAATAGAACATAGGGGTTAAATGCAAGTTTTGTTTATTGTTTTGAAAACCTTTATAAATAAAGAAAATCTGACAGGGCAGAAATGTTCAGAATGTTGAGCTCTACCAATTGTTTGTATATGTCAAAACTGTCAGACGACTTCTTAAAGGAGTTATTGCCCTTAAATGACAAATTTTACCATTTTATTTCATTTTTGCCTATTATCTTGAAAATCATAATAGATAGAGAGAAACTTTAAACTGCAAAAAGATCAGCAAGACAAGTTCTACAAATAAGTCTGCATGGTTGAAATCGTCAGTCGACTCCTTATTAGAGTTATTGCCCTTCAATGACGATTTTTACCGATTTTTTGCGTTTTTGCCTTTCATCTTAAAAATTATAATAGATAGATAGAAACTTGAATAAGCAAAAATGATCAGCAAGACAAGATCTACAATTAAGACACATGAAGGAAATCATCCGATGACACCTTATTGGACTTATTGCCCTTTGATGACGATTTTTACCATTTTTTTTGTGTTTTGCCTTATATGATAAAATTTGTAATAGATAAATAGACACTTTGAATCACAAAAAATGATCAGCAAGGCAAGATCTACTGACAAGTCAAATTTTGCCAATATAGTTCGTAGACTGTCTATCTTTATAGGTGCGATTGCCCTTAAATTTATGAGGATTTTTTTGTACCCTCTTTTGTGTTTTGAGAAAAAACTAAAGAAGATAGAGAGAAACTAAACAGACTAAATGATCAGCGATACAAGATCAACAAAACAGAGATTTTTGTCATGAATACTATTTTCTTTTACAATGTTGGAGAGTGTCTTTTGTTGAATATGCATATAGACCAAGGTGAGCAACACAGGCTCTTTAGAGCCTCTAGTTTAAAATGCAATTCGGCTTGAATAAGTATGCAGATTATTTGTTTGAATTTTAATGAAAAAATCACCACTGAAATTTTTTTAAATTGGATAAATATACAGCAAAAAAAAGCTGTTTTTTCTAAATTCATGAAAAAATAATAAAAATTATTTTCAAAATACTGTTACTCAAATTAAGAGTTTACTTACATGTATGTAGAGACGTTTTTTACAAAAATCCGCTGGTGATTATCTTTTGAAAAATAAAAGTTAGGTATGTCTGTTCAAAGGATAGAAATGTCCTAGAAACCAAAATTTTGAGTAAATGTCTAAAATTTCGACCCTATTTATTTCTAAAGTAGCACATGAAGGTCTATTTTTTATGCCCCATTTATGGGCATTATGTTTTTGGTCTGTGTGTCCGTTCGTTCCTTCGTCCGTCTGTCTGTCCCACTTCAGGTTAAAGTTTTGGTCAAGGTAGCTTATGATGAAGTTGAAGTCCATATTTATGTCATGTGAACATCTTAAGTGGTGCATCCGTGTACTATGGACACATTTTTGTTATTACATATTTGAATTAACTGTGTGAAAAATAGCTCGTATGCAAATTTTCATCAAAAAATTACTGTGGGATCAAAACTATGTATTATGCCCTTAAGTGCATTGTAACAGTATTGGTCTGTTATATGTCGTATATATGTATAGGTACCATTAAAACGTTTAATCCCGCTGCAAATGTTTGCACCTGTCCTAAGTCAGGAATCTGATTACAGTAGTTGTCGTCTGTTTATGTAGTTCATACGTGTTTCTCATTTCTCGTTTTTATATAGATTAGACTGTTGGTTTTTCCGTTTGAATGGTTTTACACTAGTAATTTTTTTGGGGCCCATTATAGCTTGCTGTTCAGTGTGAGCCAATGCTCCGTGTTGAAGGCCGTACCTTGACCTATAATGGTTTACTTTTATAAATTGTAACTTGGATGGAGAGTTGTCTCATTGACACTCATACCACATCTTCCTATATCTATTGTTTGTCAAGCATGATTTTCATTCTAGAAAGGATATTTTTTAATTATAATACTTTCAAACCTTATCTTAAATAATTTTTGAAAATATGATATTAACTTCAAATTATATTGACAGAGCTGGAATGATATGTGTGTATATTTCAAATGACCAGATGACAGATACAGTTGCAACCTTTGACAGTACAGCATCAAATGCATTAGATGACCTTGAATCATTTGTAGACATTTTCATTTTTGTAAGTTTTTGATATATAGCATAGTTATGTACTGCTGATAACAATATTATACCCCCTCTCTGAAGGAGGGATACACTGTTTGAACCCTGTTTGTCAGTCCGTCCGTCCCATAAAATTACCGTCTCATTTTTCTCAGGAACTACAAACCAGAACTTCCAAAATTTGGTAGCATGCTATACAGTTTGATGTTTTGCAGATGCACCCCTTATCAACTTCCTATGAACCAAATACTTTTTCAGATTCATAGGTCATCAACTTCTTGTTTTGAAAGTAAATGGTCATCCACATTTTGTGTTTAAAATGATTGTTGGGTGGACATTACCTCCTGAAGTTCATCTTACTTTGAGTTTGACCAGATTTTCATGTTTCAATGGTTAACAGTAAAGTTTTTTGTAAAGACTGTTTCAATATATTGGGGCTCTGGAGAAAATATTGGTAACTGATGGGTGTGTTTAATGACCTTGACTGGCTATAAAGCCCTCATACGGTAGATAACAATTTTATTTTCTAGATTCACTACCTGACATGTGCAGTTTTTGGAGCATCTGGGTCAATATGCACTATTCAGTTCAGGTTGGCGGTAACAGTAGCCTTTTCCTTAATTCCTCTGCCCTTATGGATATGTATGATGGCTTCTTTTAAAGCTAAGAAATTGTCCCATATGTCGTTAAATTTTCAGGGTATGTAGTGAGATTCATTTTTCTGTAATTTCGCATAACCCAAAAAGCTCTTTCATGTCTTTGTGATACAGCTTCCCGAGGTAAAAATCCCTTTTTTCACACAATAAGTTCTTTGTAAATATAGTATTAGCATAATTTAATAAGTCCATATTTTTTACACCTTTATTCCATGGTCATCTGCTCTTCAAATAAGCACAAATGGTTAAGCTTAGTCACTTTTTGATACTTGAAACATGTCCAATATCACTACACAGAGATTTTTTGTTTATGTACTACACTTCAATTCCTCAATTTGTGGTGCATTAGGTATAGGGATATTGACCTATCTGTTGGCTGTGCTAACTTTCCATTAGTTTCTTTAATGAGGCAGTATTATTCATAGTTCTAATATGATGTCCTTCTTTTGTTTTGGAAACAAAGCCATGTTCTAATTCCAATAGAGCTTGGGCTGCATGGTTGATTTTCTAAAACAATTCGGCTTTATCCTTTCAAAATGGCTGCCTTTCGAAAGTGTATGATAGGTCTGGTTCGAAGAACAAAAGTTCTGAATTTTCCTATTAAAATCAAAATAATTCTATCATGCAATGCTCTATGCTCATTTTAACATGGGTAGGCATTATATTTGTCAACATTTTAAACCTCCCTATCGCTCGGTATAAAGATATGACAAATATAATTCCTACCCATGTTAAAATGAGCATAGAGCATGGCATGAAAGAATCACTGCATATTTCTTAAATCGTAGGTGAGCAATTTAGGCTCCTTGTAGCCTTGAGTAAGAATGGTAACCATTCATGTTGCTTGGACAGAAGCACCTTTGTTTCTGGCCATGGTGTTCTTCAAACAGAGGGAAAAAACCAACAGAAATTAAGAAGCATATTTTTTAGAGAGTGACAAATTTCTCAAAGTCAACTGGTATGCACCTTAATTTCTTTTTATGCCCCACCTACGATAGTAGAGGGGCATTATGTTTTTCGGTCTGTACGTCCGTGTGTCCGTCCATTCGTCCGTCTGTCCCGCTTCAGGTTAAAGTTTTTGATCAAGGTAGTTTTTGATGAAGTGAAGTCCAATCAACTTGAAACTTCATACACATGTTCCCTATCATATGATCTTTTTAATTTTAATGCCAAATTAGAGTTTTGCGCCCAATTTCACGGTCCACTGAACATAGAAAATGATAGTGTGAGTGGGGCATCCATGTACTATTAGTGCAGCGGCTACAAGCATATTTCAGACGAATTGTGCACGTCCTGCTACAAGCATGAAATTTGGCATAGACCTTCCTCAACTATTACTCTTTTATTTCAGATAGGGAGGCATTTGAAAAAAATGTCTCACTTCCGGTAAAATCCAAAATGGCGGACATCATACCTAAATCAGCCCAATATCGATGGCTAGTATGTGAAAAGGTGTTAATATCATGCTACTATCATAATATTTGGTACAAACCTTTTTTATGTACTACTTTTGGATATATTATATAGATTAGATGTCTTCAAAAACCCTATTTCCGGTAAAATCCAACATGGCGGACATTGTACTAAAATAAGCTTATTTTTTAGGGAGGGTAATTGAAATGTGTTTTATTGTTTTGCTACTATCATTATATTGTGCAGGAACCTTTCTTTGGTGCTTCTCATGGATACAATGTATAAGACATATGTCTTAAAAAACCCTTACTTCCGGTAATATCCAAAATGGCAGACATAGAAATATCAAATTTTAACTTTAATATTCAACTTTTTTTCAAAATGTAAAGAAAATGTTGTTTTTTTTGTGCTGGTCCTTAAACTTTTGGCTTTAAGTTATCCTCAAAACCACTAATTCTATTCTGTTGTAAATGTTTAAATACAAAGTTAACACTTCCGGTAAAAAAATATCAAAGATGAGTCCTCAATCCATATCTTCGATGTAGAGTTTTGGATAGATTGATTAAAACAAAATAAAATCACTAATAATAGTACTAAAACATTTTTAAAATTACTACTATTTGGCCAAAAATACATGTTTATTCACAGTCACCACCACATGCACTCAAAGCAGTGCACGGGAGACCCGATTTTCCACATTAACAACGACCTTGGCATCCTTTCTTACATCCACAATGTACAAGCTTCTGACAAAATGATGAGGCCTCAGAAAGAGTTTTTTTAAAGTGATCCTCTTTGTCCCTTCGCCATCCATTAGCGCCAGGACTGGGTAGCATAAGAGCCAATTCCAAGCTCGTCCCCCTTAACACCTGCCTTAGTATATTGCACGTTTAACATGCTGGAAAAGACTAGACCAAGTTGAGGGAATAGCCTCAATTAGCCTTCTCTTTTGCGCAAATAGTTATTTTCTTGCTTCGTTAACCATGTTAACCCCATCTGATAAGTTTGTGCGATCTTACAGTTAAACCCCGGTGATTTAGGCTGATCAATCATCATTCCTTATGTTAAAGTCACATCTTCAAATGCCATCAAAGTCTCCCACGCAGTCTTTTTTCCTTTTCAAGCGAACATAGAACCGTATCACAACCGGTTAAGGCATGGATCACAATAAGTCTGTATGATCACTCATTGCCTAGTACATTTGAAAGGTCATTGATAGATATTTATCCAAAGCTTTTTGCCCTCCCAAACACAATCCATAGTTCGTCTACCCCTATGTCACGGAATAGCGAAATAGTAATGACAGCATCATCAGTAACAACTGTTGGAATCATGACTCGTTTGAGTTAGTGTTTCACTGCATCAGACACATGCACCATGATTCTAGTGTCAGCCTCTTAATGCGAACATGGTGCTAAACTTGAAATACTTCACGTGGTGGATAAGATAGAATAACCTGAGCATTTGTTGCTACAACCACCATACGCATCCAAGACTTCATCCACTCCTGTAACAGTTTTAAGGTATTTTTTAAGGTAAGGACATAATACCCTATCAGCATACTCGTTATGAAACACCTTGAAACTGTAACAACAGTGGATGTAGTCTCGGATGCGTACATAGACAATACCGGTAGTTTACAGACTGCTACAAGAAGCAAGAGCTACATTTAGGGGAAAGGGAATACACAGGCGAATCCAGGGTCAAAACAAATTCCTCAAAATTGGCAAAGTTTTCTGAGAGATGACGACAATTAGAAAGAACTTTTTAGTTTTCATTCACAGCAGATTGCTCAATAGATTTTGAGGAAAAGGTAGTTGTAGCAACAAATGCTGAGGATGTTCTGTCTTATCCACCACATGATGATGTTTCAAGTTTAGCACCATGTTCACATGAAGAGGCTGACACTAGAATCAAGACGCATGTGTCTGATGCAGTGAAACACAGACTTAACTGAGTCATGATTCGAACAGTCGATACTGATGTTGTTGTCATTGCTGTTTCGCTATTCCGTGACATAGGAGCAGACGAACTTTGGCTTGCATTTGGAAGTGGGAAAAGCTTTAGATATATATCTATCCATGACCTTTCAAATGCACTAGGCATTGAGAGATTACACGTTTGCTGGAAAAGGAACTGCCTTGGTTACATGGATGGTGTTTGAAGATGTGACTTTATCATTTAGAATGATGATTGATCAGCCAACATCACCAGATATGGATTTGATAATGTCATTGATAAAACGATACGTGGGTTTGTTGTAAGATCGAACAAATTTATCAGATGAGGTTAACGAAGCAAGAAAACATGTGTTTTTGGAAGAGGAAAGACTTATTGAGGCTTTTCCACGACTCGGTCTAGTCTTTTTCAGCATGTAAAACGTGCAATATACCATGGCGGGTGTGAATGAGTAACAAGCTTTGAATTGGTTCCAATGCTAACTAGTCCAGACGCTTATGAATGGCGAAGGAAAAAATATAATCCATGGGAACCCTTTTGGACAACTCTTTGTGAGGCCTCTCCATCTTATCAGGAGCTTGTACATTGGATGTAAAAAACAATATCATGGTCTTTGTAAATGTGGAAAATCAGCTCTCAGATTGTGAATAAACATGTATTTGCGGCCATAAATTAGTAATTCAAAAGATGTTTTAGTACTTAAGTGATTTTATTTTGTTTTAATCAATCTATCTAAAACTCTACATCGAAGATATGGATTGAGGACTCATCTTTGAAATTTACGCCATATTGGTTTTTTTTACCTGAAGTGTTAACTTTGTATTTAAACATTTACAGTTGAATAGAATTAGTGGTTTTGAGGATAACTTAAAGCCAAAAATTAAATGACCAGCACAAAAAAAACATTTTCTTTACATTTTGAAAAAAATTTAATATTAAAACAAAAATTTGATATTTCTATGTCCACCATATTGGATATCACCGGAAGTAGGGGTTTTAAAGACATATTTCCTATATATTGTATCCATGAGAAGCGCCAAAGAAAGGTTCCTGCACAATATAATGAGAGAAGCAATACTTTAAAACACATTTCAATTACCCTCCCTAAATATAAGCTTATTTTAGTACAATGTCCGCCATGTTGGATTTTACCGGAAATAGGGTTTTTGAAGACATCTAATCTATATAATATATCCAAAAGTAGTATATAACAAAGGTTTGTTTACGAAATATTATGATAGTAGCTTGATAATAACACCTTTTCACATACTAGCCATTGATATTGGGCTGATTTAAGTATGATGTCCGCCATTTTGGATTTTGAAAGCCGCCGTACTATATGGACACATTCTTGTTTTCTTTTAAGTTTTCGAATATTGTGGATTCATTATTATTTGTTGGGTACCAATTTTCTTGTATAGGTTAACCATGTAATTAGATGTTCAATGAAGTTGAAAATTTCTATAGGCTTGTATACAGACTTTTGGAAATCTGGGAAATGAAATAACCATGAAAATATAAGTTTTCCTCAATTCACGAAAATTGGTATCCATGAAAATAATTGAATCCACAGTAGGTTTACTCTAATGAAACCATTAATGCATATGATTACTAGAAAAAAAAACTTCTTGATGTTGAGACTTGAGGTAAATGAGCTGACTTACTTAATGTTCTGTCATTTCTTTTGTAGCAATTAAAGCATGTTGCACTTGTTAATTTCAACTTTACCAGAGATGTTATTTATAGAGATTTAGATAGTAAGTACATTTCTGAACTTTTATTTTACTTTCAAACTACAGAAACTACAGCTGGTGCCCTTAACTTGTTGCAGTCTGCACCAAAAACATTTGTAATCCAAATCTTTTTTTTAGCTCATCTGGCCTTAAAGGCCTTGTGAGCTTTTACCATCACTTGGCATCCATTGTAAACTTTAAAAAAAATCCTCTTTCCGAAACTACTGGGCAAAATTTAATCAAACTTTACCGGAATGTTCCTTATGGAATGTAGTTTAAAAATTGCATCAGGGGATTTGAACCATGAACAAACATAACTGCTATTGATAAAAATTGATTATTGGGGTAAAATGCAGTTTTTGGTTTATATGTATAAAAACTAAAGCAGGAAGAGCAAACCTGACAGGGTTAAAATGATCAGCAGGTCAAGGTTCTATCTTCAGTGGAATTTTTAGAAAAAACAGATAACTTGTTTTGGAGTTATTGCTCCTGAAATTTAATATTATAACAAATTTCATAGTTTTTTGGCTTTTATCTGAAAAACTAATAACAGTTAGTGCTATTTCAGAAAAAAATGTATGGGGGGTTGGAGGGTTGGAAGACACTTTATATTAATATGTATGGGTGATGGGTATCAGAGCAACTTTTCACACTATGATTTTGAATTACAATTGTCTGGGTGGTGGGTGCTGAAACAAATTGCCTCCCCCCCCCTAAGAGCAAAAGTGACTTCAGTGATGTCGTTAAAAGCCGGCAGCCGGCTATTTTCGCCGGTAATTGTCCTTTTCCCGCCAGCTATTTTTGCATAAGTTAAAAAAAAAATAGAGTAAAAACAATAATCAGATTATCAAAAAATAATTGTTCCATTGAAATTATCAGCTTTAACGATAAAAGTCGCGATAAACAAGGATGTAAAAATCAGTGTTTACCTTTGACTAAAAATAGGTCACGTAAATTCAGGTCACTGATTGGTCGTCTATTTAAATTCGGAAAGTATCGTATGTTTGCAAAGATAACAAGAGAGACGTTCCGATGGTCATTAACAATATGAAGCGATCAATATACCTTTTTCGGTTTTGGCTTCAAGAAAACAAAGAAAGTCAAAGAAGATGACATTAGCATGTTATGAAATAATATCAGTCAAATAAAAGAAAGTATTATATACAATGTTGTTTATAAGAATCTGGAAAACAGTACCTTTTGTAGTTCCCTTTTCAAAGCCCACGTGGTGTCCAGAGAATGAAGGTCAAAAACGAAAGTAGAATTTTGTCAACCACAAATAAAATAACATTAGTTCAAATTGATTTTAGTTTCCTACTTACTGAACAGTTTTCAAAAAAAAGAAAATCAGAGGAGATATCAATTTTATGACAATGCTTTTGAAATACGTGTACAAGTCTTTTGAGAAAAAAGGGGGGTCATTTGTTTACAAAGTACGTAGTTACGCAAAATAAATTGACCAAGATATTTAATAAATTCGATTATTATAGAAATGAAATTAAATATTTCATCTATCATCTACATTATTCAAGGACAGAATTCTTTAGTTGTCTTAAAAAGATATGTAAAAAAAAACTGGTACACAGGGCATGAAGATTCCAATTTGGTAAATTATTTTTTTGATTAAATTTGATTGAAGTCAACAACAAAAATAAGACAAAATTTACATTTCCCCAAGCATCTAAATCACCTCCAGGTATGCTCAGAATGCAAGGTTTTGAGTCTAAAATGTCAAAATTTTCTTAGGGGAGCATACGATTTTATAAATAGCAACTCAGCTACAGTTTTATACGGAAGGAGATTTCCTAACTTTGCAGCTCCTGTTGACTGCTAGTGAATATGGTTTTTAATTTTGTAAAAAGGGGGACCGGTTGTAAAAACAAAACCAAACTATTTTTATAATAATTAAAACATATATAATGTTCTCAATGTCAAAATTACAATTTTTATTATATACTAAATAATTCAAGTGATATTTCAAACTAATCTTTCAGTTCAACCATATTCACTAGCAGTCAAACTGCTGGAAAAATGCACAGAAATGTATATTGGTCATGCAAGTTGCCAATATAACAGCAGTTCTAAGTCTGGATCAAATGCGAATATCAATCTGATCAAATTTACAGAAAATTCAACCACCATGCTACTAATTTTAATTAATCATTTACATTATCTTCATTGAAAAATGATGTTTTCAGTGGTCTGAATAAGGGTCCAGGAGACCCCCAAAATGCAGGATTTTGCACCATTTTTGGTGGAAGAAGACTTCAAGTCTTCTGAAAGCCTTTACTGTCGGCTGTAAAATCATTGAACCGTTACGAGGACGTATGCCGTATCCCTTTCTGTGCTTTACAATTTCATAACAACTTCCGTGCCATATCTTGACACCGATGTTTACACAGTACATGATCTAAGCATCTGCATCATTTAATTTATTAGTTAGGCTTGAAAAACGATCACTATCGTTATGTTATAATTTATCATGTTTTAATGTATTAATATCAACCCCTTTATTTATGTAAATTATTAGATTTCATCTCATCTTACATGAACCTTATTTGTTTACTTGATGTTTTTAAAGTAGAGTTTGTAGTACTACAAATATGCATGTGTGAATTTGGTATCCGGTCGGTTCGCCCTGATTGCATGTTCGCCCTTGGTCTGTTCGCCCTGAGTTCGTCCCCATAGAGTATGTTCACCCTGGGTTCCTTCTCCTTACTTTTATCGTGTTATATTTTTATGTTAAGTATATTGATTTTTGGTTGAGTTATGAGTATTATTATTTTTGGAAGAAAAAAATGCGTTGAAAGCAATAATGGGACAAAGCAGGCTGGGTTGGTGGGGGCTGCTTTTATTGTAATTACCTTTTATGCATCTTCTTCCACCTCAGAGCAATCAGCTCTTTGATTAACAGGAAGTTGTTGAGTGATGAATCTGAAAACGCATCACATGGTATAGCTGACTTGTATAAACCCTGAAACCAAATTTCAGAATGGACGGACTGACGGACAGACAGACCCCCGGCCGTAGGCACGACGAGCAAGCTCGTCACCGCGAACGGCTGTGCAGTCCGCATTTACTAGCCGGCTATTTTAGAAATTTAACCTGCTTCATAAAAACTTACTGACACCACTGGACTTAGGAAAAAAGTTCAAGTGAAGGTATGGAATTTTCAGACATATCAGACAACCCATTTTGTGCTCCAGAATTCTATGTTGATTGTTAATCAATGATATAATCTGGTTTACTTCGGCAACAAACTTGAAAGTTAATTAGCTTGCAATCAACAATCAATGAATAATATATTATCTGTTGATAATACGTTATAGATTCATTATAAACGTAGAAAAAAAAATGTATAAAGGACTTAGTTTAGTATATATGCATGCATTGGTTCAATAATTTCCGTAACAATAAAAATACAAGAAACTTGTTTCATATGATTTTTAGAATTGCCAAGTTTTATATGGTGTAATCAATGATCATTCATGTTTAATATTGATAGCCTTTGACTATTGTTTCTCATATTTTATCAGGTATTGGTTATATAGTTGGGAGACCTGTGAGATCAACTTTAAAAGCCAATGGAGGAGTTGATACAGCCATTGATAGTGCTTTTGATCTTGCTTCAAGTATGTACCATGTTTTATACATATATAATAAAAAAAAACAGTGTAAAAAAAACCATATGATATTTGTTGCCTTTTTAGCTCACTGTAAGACATGTAAGATTATGTCATCACTTGGCGTCCGTTGTCGTCGTCTGTCGTCTTAAACTATTTCAAAAATCTTCTCCTCTGAAACTACTGGGCCAAATACCTTCAAACTTTAACTAAATGTTCCTTAGGGTATCTAGTTTATAAATTGTATCCGAACTTTGTATCTATTAACAAACATGGCCGCCATGGCTAAAAATAGAACATAAGGGTCAAATGCAGTTTTTGGCTTATATTTTCAGAGGAATCGAACAACCCATTGTTGGGTTGCTGCCACTGAATTGGTAGTTTTAACAAAATTTTGCAGTTTTTTGTTATTATTTTGAATATTATTATAGATATATATAAACTGTAAGCAGCAATAATGTTCAGCAAAGTAAGATCTACAAAAAAGTTAATATGACCAAAATTGTCAATTGACCCCTTAAGGAGTTATTGCCCTTTAAAGACAATTTTACACAATTTGTTCATCAAGTTTGCTAACATTTAAAAATCATCTCCTCTGAAATACAGGTGAGCGATTCAGGCTCTTTAGAGCCTCTTGTTAGGAGTAAGATTTAAAATTGTTCTGCTTAGAGTCTTCACTTTTCAATACCGATTTGGGATTGCAATACAGACCAATTGGAAATGCTATGGTCACAATTCTTTCTTGCAGTTGTAATTAATCATTCATTTGGTTAAGAGTTACATAGCTCAGAAATAATGTGAAGGTGGCGACTTTGAGTGTCTTAATTAGGCCAACTATATGTACTTGTATCGTTGTTTTTTTTTTTATGCACTGTAAAGCGCTTAGAGTAAATGTTTATTTAGATAAGCGCTATATAAGCACTGTAAATAATAATAATAATAATAATAACTAATTATTAGAAGATTTTCATCCAACTTGTGGAAAAAATCGGAGCAGGTAGGAGGATTTTGATTTTGATTTTTCTTTCCTCTGAAACCCTTTCATATATGTTTTTCATATGTAAGGGTAATAGAAATTGTTTTAATATACACGTATATAAAGAATTCTGCATACTTGTACCACTATCAGTAAGTAGCAAAAATGTGGAAGAAGGATATTTTTTAGATTACTTGCATCAGTTTGCTTTCGCTTTCTGAGCTTTTTCAGGAACATTATGGGCCTTACCAGCTAATTTGAAATGATAACCATCCACATCAGAGTGATTAACCCCTATGAATAATATCCTAGGAGCAAGAATCACTACACACATTGGTATGAAAAACAAGTACAGATTGAACATAGATGTAAACCAGATCTGTGTGAAAAAATACTAGGGTTGATAAGATAATATAAGATAAGAAAAAATTAAATGATTCAGCATAAGTCAAATATACAACACAAGCTCTAAGGAGCTTTTAACGGAATATAAAAACATATACAAAAATATAACATAAAAACAGTCTAAGATATAAACAACCTGCAATACAAAGTTGAATCTCACACATAGCATGCAATAAAATTTTAGCAGCAAATTTAGAATGAAGTAAAGCATTTATCTATATGTTTTACCTATTTAAAAGTTTAAAAATTTAGAATTAAAAATATGGTAAAATATAACTATTTAAATAAATAGATTACTTTTATAAAAATCAAATAAAAAAGTTTGGAACTAGAGTATTTGCTTCGAGATATAGAAATTTCAAAGAACAAAATATTTTCAACATGCATTAATTACCCAATTTCTGGAAATATGTGTCAGAAACTAAAAATTAAATACATAAAAATTCATGAAGAAATACATCAATGCAAGTTCAAAGCAACAAAAAAGCAACATAAATAATAAACAGCTCAAGAGTTATCTGCAAGCAGAACAGCGAAATTCCAAACCGTTCCAAGACTGAACAAGACTTTTAAAATGTGAAAAACTATTTTCAGTCCTGAAATGGTTTGGAAGGCTGTTCCATAAAGTTGCGGCAGCAAATTTGAAAGATTTTATACTGTAAGTGTAACGGGTCAACTTTACCTGTGGCACATCCAGAATATTTACATACCTGAAAGAATACTTTTGTTCATAATCTTGAAAGTTTCTAGAGCCATTGTTTTTATCTGTCTGATCTGCAAGGAGGGCACCTTACCTTTATGTAAGAGGTCCTCGTAGGAGCTGCTATAATCCTCGTATACAAAACAGGGTGCTTTCCCTGCACATATTCTAGCTTTTTTGAATTTTTCTCAGTGCAAAAGTGCCATAACAAAGGGCAAAAATTAAAATTACTAAGCATAAAAGTATGAAAAATAGTAAGTTTACTAAGTCTATCCAAAGCAGAGCCCAAACGTTTTAAAACATTTAGTTGCTGTGAGGCCCTCCTGCAGATCGAGCTGATATGAACATCAAAATTTAACTGATAATCAATTTCAATGCCTAATAATTTAACTGTTTTTTCACATGTAAGGTCCGAATTTTGAATATGTATAGAAGAATTTTTTTAAAGGTCTTTTTGCCAACAGCCAAAACTTGAAACTTGTCTGGATTTGCATGCATTTTATTCACCCAGAACCACTCAATTAGTTTTTTGACTCCGATTCAAAAGTTGAAATTAATAAATCAAAATCTGGAGTGCAGAAAGACAAAGTACTGTCATCTGCAAAGTTATATAAACTACCATTTTTAACAAAAAGAAAAATATCATTTATAAATACTTTAAACAACAATGGCACTAGTATAGATACCTGTGGTACGTCCATTCGTCCGTCCGTCTGTCCCGCTTGAGGTTAAAGTTTTTGGTCAAGTCAGGTTAAAGTTTTTGGTCAAGGTATTTTTTGCTGAAGTTGAAGTCCAATCAACTTGAAACTTAGTGCACATGTTCCCTATGATATGAACTTTCTAATTTTAATGCCAAATTAGAGTTTTGACCCCAATTTCACGGTCCACTGAACATAGAAAATGATAGTGCGAGTGGGGCATCCATGTACTATGGACACATTCTTGTTATCAAGAGCTTCACGCCAATCTTCTAACACTCTGAGTAGTGTGGTCTGACATCCATGTCCACGTCTAAATGCACACAAAAAACGATTATAAATTTTATCAAAGTATTCAGTTAGTTGAATTTCATATATTTTTTCAAAGATTTTAGAAAATATGGGTAAGACACTAACTGGTCTATAGTTTGCTTTCAATAATGGGTCAATCTTTTTATGAAGGGGGGTCACTTGGGCTTCTTTAAGTTTATCAGGGAAACAGTTATTTTCAATTGACAAATTTACAAGAGTAGTCAGCTGGGGCAATATGCTCAATTGTTTCTCCATAGGCGGTAATGGTAACATTTTCTTCTGTAGCTCAGTCCATATCGTAAACTTGGATATGTATGATGGCTCGTTTCGAAGCTGAGAAATTTTCGCATATGTGGTTAAATTTTCGGGGTACGAAGTGTGATTCATTTTTCCGTAAATTAGCATACCCCGAAAACCCTTTCGTGATGCGACTCTTCCTGGTAAAAAATCCCTTTTTTAACACAATGAATTCTTTGAAAATTTAATACTTTGAATACATTTAATAACTCCATAGTTTTTACACATTTATTCTATGGTCCTCTACTTTCCAAATCAACACAAATGGTTGAGCTCAATCACTTGTTAAAAATAGAAACATGTCCAATATCACTACACAGAGATTTTTTGTTTACACACAAATTTTGTGTTCCTCAATTTGAGGCACATTAGGGATATTGACCCAATATAAATTGGGGCAATATGCGCAATTGTTTCTCCATAGGTGGTAATGGTAACGTTTTCTTCTGTAGCTCAGTCCATATCGTAAACTTGGATATGTATGATGGCTCGTTTTGAAGCTGAGACATTTTCACATATTTGGTTAAATTTTCGAGGTACGAAGTGTGATTCATTTTTCGGTAAATTAGCATACCCCGAAAATCCTTTCGTGATGTGGCTCTTCCTGGTAAAAAATCCCTTTTTTCACACAATAAATTCTTTGAAAATTTAATACTTTGAATACATTTAATAACTCCATAGTTTTTACACATTTATTCTATGGTCCTCTACTTTCCATATCAACACAAATGGTTGAGCTCAGTCACTTGTTAAAAATAGAAACATGTCCAATATCACTACACAGAGATTTTTTGTTTACACACAAATTTTGTGTTCCTCAATTTGAGGCGCATTAGGGATATTGACCCAGCTGTGGTGCAATATAAGATTTACAATTTTTTTACTATTTTTGCTGGAATACCATCGGCTCCTGTAGCCTTCTTGATGTTTATTTTATTCAAGATTCTATCGACATTTTCCTTAGATACTTTCTTGAATTCAAAATCAGAAACATGCTCTCTATTACAGGGCTTCCAAAAAATATTTGAGCAAGCCGGACATTTTTTCAATCCCGTTTTTTATTTACTTTAGACAGGTTACCCCATAACAAGAGATGGACATAACCATATGATAAAGCCATCAAACTATTAAAGGAAGATAAACTTCATAGACTTCATACTTTTTCAGTTTTTATATAAATTCCATGTATGACATTAACAATCAAATTGATAGTGTATGGTTCGAATTGGCATATATCTGCAGACTTAACATAGTGTATTAGTCAGTCGAGGACCAGCTTATAGTCATTTGATAAACTTGTTTTCCAATACCGGATATTTACTAGACGATGATAGAAAGCGGAAAGGAGACAGTTGTGCAAAATCCGTTTATTTTTATCTAGCATTATTGAGTTTAAACAGTTCTTTTTATTTTATTCCTTAGGGAAAATACTTGAGATGAACGTCAGATAATGGTATAAATGACATTTTTATGGACGCATTAATACATAATAAATATCAGATTTGTGCACATGCCCACACTTCTTATAATTCAGTCGACGTGGTTCTGTCTGTTAAACTTTTTTTACCATCTTTGTAAATTATGATCTACTCGTTTTAAATACGTTTTCTGATAGTCTTAA